GGCCTGCGCCCTACCTCTCGCTCCACCTCCAGCCGGGTCTCGGGCACACCGCCGATGAGCGGCTCGGTGACGTGCGGGTCGCTCTCGGCCCCCGGGCCGTGGTGGTGGCCCAGCAGGGAGCCCAGGGAGCCGGCCGAGATGTTGCGGGGGAAGGAGAAGTCCTTCTCGTCACTCGGGTGGCTGCGGGCAGAGGGCAGTGAGGTGAGGGCGCCGGGCGGCGTGCCTGCAGCGGGGCGGGGCTCACCTGTGTTTCAGCAGCAGGGCCCGCAGCACGTTGGCTCTGTCCTCGGCTTTGATCTGGTCAGAGATGACCATCTGCTCCACCACCTGGTGGGCCACGCCGGGCAGGGTCTGCTGGTCCAGGTCCAAGAGCACAGCCCCTGGGGAGAGGCGGCACGAGGCCCTCACCCCAGGGCAGAAGCCCGGCGGGGGCTTGGGGGGGAGGCGGGGGAGCGGGGGGCTGCCGGGCTGCACGACCGGGACTCCGGCCAGGACCGGAGCCGCCCGGGCCGCTGTCGGCTCCGGCCCGTCCCGCTGTCGGCTCCGGCCCGTCCCCTCAGCTCCCGCAGAGCCCGGCCGGGGAGCCCTGGGGCCCCCCGGGGCGCACAGCTCTTTGCTGGGAGGTTCTTCCTCGTCTGAGCCGCGTGCCACCACCCAGTGTCACCCTGGCCCGCTCTGCCCCACAGCGATGCAGCCAGCCGGCCTTGGCCACCGAGGGCCCGTCCACCTGGGCTCCGAGCCCCGAGGCGGGCAGGTGCTCGCTCGGCCTCGCCCCACCCGGCGCTGCTCCGGGCCGCTGCTGGCCCCAGATAGCAGGGGCCTTCCCAGTCACCGGGTCACTTTGCCATCAAGGTCAACACGGGGACAGAACTAAGGACTAAGCAGAACCCGAGGACCAGGCAGCTGCCGCGGGGTCACGAGCTCGCCCGCACTGGCACCGCCCCGCCCCAGGCTGCCAGGCCGCTCCCGGTGGGCCCGGCCAGAGTAGGCGCTGCTCCTGGCCCGACACCCCACGCACCCCACGCCGAGGAGGAAACGCACGAGCAGTGACCCCAGACGTGGGGGTGGGGGAGGGCGCGTGGGGGTCACGTGGTTGATGACCCCACAGGCCGTCTCAAAAACTCATCAAGAGTCTTTAAAAGCACCGTAGCGCCCGCCTCAGACAGCAGCGGCCCCCAGAGGCCCGGCTGCAGGCCCAGGGGTCCCGCCCATCCCGCCCAGCGTCACCCCTCACCACAGAGGGGCCGGCCGCTGACCTCCCGTGCACGGCCCTCGGGCGCACCGACCGCATAGGCCGTGAGGCTCAAGACAGACTGGGGGCAGCGGTCTCCCGGAGTGGGTGGGCAGTTTTGGGGTGAGGGAGGCCAGGCAGGGAGGGTGGGGCGCTACCGTGGGCCAGCGTCCGGCGGAGCTCCAGGAGGCTGCGGAAGGACAGCGAGGCCACGTGCGGCTTCCCCCAGCGCTCCGTCTCCTCCTCCACGTCCTCCTCGAACTTGATCCAGCGCGCCGTCTCCCGCCACTGGGGCTCCTGGTTTTTGTCCAGCAGCAGCTCGTTCAGCTCCACAAACACCTGGGGCGGAGCGAGGACGCTGCTGGGCCGGGCCCGGGCCATGAGAGGACTCCGTGTGCGGCCCGAGTTGGTGCGCAGGCAGGAGCCGGGGCAGTTACGACCAGGCTGAGACTCACTGCCCCGGCGGAGCCACGGGAGTCTCCCGGCCACCTCGGGCCCCCACGGGGACTGGGGGGAGGCGCTGGGTGCAGGGGACAGACACACACTCCCACGCACACACGCCCGACTGATCCCACGTGTGCACTGCGGGCCTGGGAGGCCAGGAGAGCGGCGGTGCCCCCCGAGGGCGCGGCACGGGCAGAGGCAGAGGCAGAGGGGGCTCTGCAGAGCTGCCCACCTGGCTGGGCTAGCCAGGGGTGCCAGCGTGGGTCACGGGGTGCACCTGTGACCCAGGTGCAGGCTGCCGCCTGGCCGCCAGCCCTCGACCACGCTCAACAAGCGGCTTAGGGACCTGGCATCAAAGCCGCCCCGGCCACCCGCTGCCCCGGATGTGGGGCTTGCCACCCGGCCGCCCCTTCCCCTGTCGTGGAAGGACAGGTCACAGGCGCGGAGGAGACCGGGCTCGGAAATGCGGCTCCCACAGCCCCTCAGCCCAAGTCCCCAAACCCGCGGGGCGCCGGACCGGGGGTGGGGCGGGCAGCGTGAGGCAGGCG